AGGACCAGTGTAAACCAGAGAGTCATCAACGATATTGGAGTAAACCCTCCCTCCAAGCTCCCTCGTTATAGGCCCCTACAATGGTTCATTTCCGTTGTTGGAACTGTCTCGTTGGAAGACGCCCGTTTGAAGACCCTGATGGACGCCAAAACATTGTTCTCGGGATTCCAACGCCACGGATCAACCTGACTGTTGCGTCTTGGCGATCCTGAACCGCGCGAGAACGTCATTCGTAGAACTTAACACCGAGAACCAACGTCACTGTTGCACCCGCATGATCCGGAATCCCTCCATAACACCATTTCTGGTACGTTGATGATGGAAATCCGCGAAATTCTTGCAACTGCTTAAGACGAATGTGCGCGGCGCTAAAGCGACAACCACAGTTTGAAAAAAGAAGCGCCATCAATCCGTGACACTCTTGCAAATAAAAAAACAGTGCGGCGCAGAAGCGAGAACCACATTTTGAAAACCACTCGCCCTCAATCGGTAAATTTTTTGCAAATTTGGAAAACGAATACGTGCCGCGCTAAGGCGAGAACCACATGTTGAAAACGGCCCGTTCTTAATTCGTGAAGCTCTTGCAAATTTCTAAAACGAATGTGCGCTGCGCTGAGGCGAGAGCCACATTTTGGAAACCACCCGCCCTCCACCTGTGAAACTGTTTAAACTTTTGACGCTTCATATTCATAAATGGTAAGGAAGTGTCAGGCGAAACGCAGGGCCCGCCCTAAAAAGTGGACTCGGGGTGCGACATGGACAAGTTATGTATAAGGACAATGAATGGAGGAGAAGGCTCGAAGAGGCAGGAGGGGAAGGAGGAGGAGAAGGGAGGAGGGAGGAGAAGACCTGTGTTGTGATGCTTCGTTTGTCCCGAGGTCCAGTCGGGAAGCGCGCCGGATTGGAAACGCAACGACCCCACCTACGGCACCGCAGCCCCGCAGGTGACGCCCCGCACCGCACCCTCCCGAAAAATGCTGTGCGACGAAGGCTGAAGGAAGACACAGACAGGCACGTGCCGGGGCAGGAGCTCTCGCCTTCTCCTCCTTCTCCTTCTCCTCCTCCTCCTTCCTCCTCCTCCTCCTCCTCCTCCTCCTCCTCCTCCTCCTCCCTCCTCCTCCTCCTCCTCCTCCTCCTCCTCCTCCTCCTCCTCCTCCTCCTCCTCCTCCTCCTCCTCCTCCTCCTCCTCCTCCTCTCCTCCTCCTCCTCCTCCTCCTCCTCCTCCTCCTCCTCCCTCCTCCTCCTCCTCCTCCTCCTCCTCCTCCTCCTCCTCCTCCTCCTCCTCCTCCTCCTCCTCCTCCTCCTCCTCCTCCTCTCCTCCTCCTCCTCCTCCTCCTCCTCCTCTCCTCCTCCTCCTCCTCCTCCTCCTCCTCCTCCTCCTCTCCTCCTCCTCCTCCTCCTCCCCCCTCCTCCCTTCCTCCTCCTCCTCCTCCTCCTCCTCCTCCTCTTTCACTTCAGCAAAGAAAAGCAGCCCCAGAACCGAAAGGCCTGCCGCGCACCTCGGGCCTCCAGCACGCCTACAACTTGGAGAGTTTCCAGTCCTGAGGCTTCGCAGCGAAAACTACCCCATGGAATCCCAGGAGACGCGCTCTGGACACCGCGGGCAGGAGGAGGCGGAGGAGGATTGTGAGGGAACGAGAGGGAGGAGGAGGAGGAGGAGGAGGAGGAGGAGGAGGGAGGAGGAGGAGGAGGAGGAGGAGGGAGGAGGAGGAGGAGAGGAGGAGGAGGAGGAGGAGAGGAGGGAAAGGGAGCTGGACGCGAACACCCAGTGGTGTCCACGGTTCGGTGGGACCAGCTGCATCACCTTCGACATCCCAGGTTCGTGAACACATGGTGATTGTGTGTGTGTGTTGGTTGTTGTGGGCCATTTTTCCGCATATGGAAACCGTCTGTCTTGCCAGGACCGTAGTCAAAAAAACGGCTCGGGATGAGAATCTGTCCCCCAGAAGAGGTCCAGACCCTTCGGGGTCCACGTTGTTGACCAAAAAAACACAACGTCGGACGTATGGGCGGGAGGGGGAGGGGGAGAAATTAACCCGCCAGAGAATTAGAACGGGAATGGGGACCGAATCTCTCCTCATCCTCCGCCTCCTCCTCCAACGGCGGGTCTGGAAATGTATCGGGCGCCGCGGTCCTTCATGAGCACTTTGCGAGCGCTCCTCTGTGAGAGGAAAATTCTGAATGCGTTCGGGCATATTTTGGAGCGATTGATCCGCTAGACCTGCTAGAGCCTGGTCTAGCTCCTCAGGCTGGTCTTCCTCCTCCTACTCCATCTCGTCCTCCTCTTTCTCCATCTCGTCATCGTCCTCGTCCTCCTCCTCGTTCTCCCCCTTGTCACCCTCCTCCTCCTCCTGCTCCTTTTCCCCTCTTCTCCTCTCAGGCATTGGCAAGACTGGGCTTAGCAGGACCTGGTTTAGTGATGTCCCCCGGAAAACCCAAACTACGGCAGACCTGGTTTAGTGGTTCTGGCCCATTTGGGGGGCGCCAGGGCCCAATCACCCAACCCTCCTCCCCTCACCAAGGGTCCTGGCTATACCCGATCCTCGTCCTTCTCCACTTCCCCGTCTACCCTCCTCCTTCTCCTCCTCCTCCTCCTCCTCCTCCGGCACCTGGTCCCGCTCCTCAGGCCGGTCCTCCTCGTCCGGAAGGACGCCGGGGAACCGGAAGGCAAGCCCTTATCAGGCAGGAGCGCCTGGGCGCCCGCGGGCAGCCTCTCAGCTGGCGCCCGCGGCGCCCGGAAAGGGGCGATGGGGTGGGGAGGGCATACCCCGCCTAGGTCGGGCACGTCCTCCTACAGGCAGATGTCGGACGACAGATAAAGAATGGCCAAGAGATGCTCAAGGTTAGTCAAACTAGTACAAAAAAAAACGTCCGCACACTAGATGTTTACTATTTTGGGATACTCCTCTTGTAGAGGGGCAAGCCCGACTAAATGCTACGCATGGAAGGCAAAGCCTCTTCGATGAGGCTGTAATGCCTACTTCGATGTTGAGCCGGCCATGATGCCCCCCACTCGTGCCCACCCCGTCCCGTTGTCTTAAGGGACTTCGCATCCCCTAGAAGAACCAACAACGGCATTTTATGCCGTGCTTCATGTTCATGTCGCATTTTATTCTTCGAAAGTTTGTGTTCATGTCGCATTTTATTCCTCGATCAGGATCATCGAAACCCAAGACACCCAGGGCACCCTAGAGGCAAGAAAGGTGTTCCTCAGCACGGGTTTCCACCCTACGATGCCTCTTCCGATGTTGAGCTGGCCATGCAGCCCACCCGTGCCCACCCTGTCCTGTCTTCAGGGACGTCGCGCCCCCCTGTGACGGTGGGGCGGGAAGAGACTTGAGGGCAGAAAATCCACTCCCAACGAACCCGACATGCGAAGCCGTTTAGTAAACGCACCCAAAGACGGAATCGAACAGGGCAGGGCTGTTTAGTAAACGCCCAGGGCCGTATACCAAACGCCAATTGTGCGGTCTGGGTGATTTTTCCTCCCTTGAAGCACGGCCCAGAGACCTCCGGCGGAGGCCAGCCCAGAAGAAAGCTTCCACAAGAACCCTAACCCTGAAACCCCAGGACGTCCATGGGTTCTTGGTGTGGGAACGTACAGTCATCGGCCTGACCTAAGGAACGATAACTAAGGAACGAAGCCCATTTCTTCCAAGGAATAACGCATGGGGAACGATGAACAAATAATACATGACGAATAGGGAACGATAAATAACGCATGCAAGCCTAAGGAACGACCGAGCCCCTTTTGAAAAGTAAGCGTTCCTTATTCAAGCCGCTCACAGTAGCGCTTCCCATGCCAAAAACATCGATTCCCCAGAGAGATCCAGGGCACCCTGGAGGCAAGCAGAGTGCCTCTTGGCATGGGTCCAGACGGTAGACAGACATCAAGGCGGATATCCTGCGCCACGACGACGACGAAGACGACAACGACGACCAAGACGACGACAGAGGCCACGACGGCCACGAAATCCACGACCACGACGACGAAGACCACAACGACCACGACGACCAAGACAACCACGACCACGACGACCACGACCACGACGACGACGACGACGACGACGACGTCGCGCCCGGGTCCCTGGCGGGACAATCCACAGATGCCTCGAGACGAAGAGCCGGCCCTGGGGAAGCGGTCAGACAGCACTTCTGGGGACCCCGATTTGATCCAACCCGACGAGTGTGCGGGAGGCTGTTCCGTTTAAGTCGTCGTCGTCGTCGCCGTCGCCGTCCCCCCTGTCGTCGTCGTCGTCGTCGTCGTCGTCGTCGTCGTCGTCGTCTGAGTCGCCGTCGATGTCATCGTCGCCGCTCCCCCTCAGGGGAAGTCCAGCCAGAAGGAAGCGGAGCAGGGTCGTAGTCGAGTCGACCTCAACCCCGTCCCTTTGATCCTTGACCCCTCCGACGCGGAGGGGAGGGTCCCTGGAAGGGGGGGGGGGACCTGGGGGTTGTGACCCCCCGCCCGGGGGGCGACACCCCTCACTGAGAGAAACTTTCGGCTCCAGAGCGTCAGCGTCGTCGTCGCCGTCGCCGTCGCCGTCGCCGTCGCCGTCGCCGTCGCCGTCACCGTCGCCGTCGCCGTCGTCGTCGTCGTCGTCGGCGACGTCGTCGTCGCCGTCGCCATCGTCGTCGTCGTCGTCGTCGTCGTCGTCGTCGTCGTCGTCGTCGTCGTCGTCGTCGACGTTGCCGTCGTCGTCGTCGTCGTCGTCGTCGTCGTCTTCGTCGTCGTCGTACTGCCCCTTCGGGATGGGGGGATCGGGTGTAAGGCCTTCGCAATAGGGCAATGTAGCTGGACACTACCTTTACCAAGACGAGACGTCGGGTATACCTGGGGACGCCGGCGGACGGGCCGCGTCGCTGCTCTCCCGTGCTTGCCGTCCAGTTCCCAGCATGCAGGCGCGGGCGAAGGTGAGTGTCACCGGCCTAGGCATCGACTGCATCCGCTGCTTCAGCATCTCGATGCGAGAGGAACACAAGAACTGTATGAACATAACTTTTGGAGCGCTCGGCACCCCCTCCCTGGCGCGCTGAGCGCGCCAGGGGCAGCGACGGAGCCGCCGCCAGGGGGGCCCAGCACAGGTCCAAGCAATCCGCGCGGATATCCACACGTGTATGTTTATGTTGTCCTTATGTTCCTCAAGATGAACTGGTCTCCGTCCTCCACCTCAGGCAACGGGTCCCCGTCGATCGCTACCAGCCGGTCCATGACCTGCACAAGCAGCGACTCAGCCTGACCTCCTGGCTTGATGGCGCGCACGACCCCCTCGCGCAGGTCCAGCTCGAGGCCCAGCGCACGCTGCATGAACGTGAACTCCAGGCGCTCCTCGCCCGTGCGGGGCCCCCTGTGGGCGGGCTGGCTGGGGATGCCCCTGGCGATGTCCTGGGCGGGGGGCGGGGAGGGCGATGGGGGGGGGGGGGGGGGCAGAGGAGGACAAGTGAGGACGAGGGGCTCAACCGAAGACGAGGCGGGGAGGAGGAGGACGAGGGGGGGGCGAGATCTCAAGGGGTCACTGGATACAGGTCCCCAGAGGACTCCGCCCCCCCCCGGAAAGCCCAAAACATCAAACCTCGACCCTCAACAGTCGACCCCTCAACATCTCCAGACTCCACGGGTGCGTTCTGGCCAGAATCTCGCAGCCGATCAAGCTTTGGCGTCGAGGGCGTTGCAGAAGGCGCAATGCGCACTTCAGCGAACAGCATGCTCGATCCTCGATCCTCCTCCTCCTCCTCCTCGATGTCCTGGGCGATGAGGTGCGCGTTCTCGCGTATCTCCTTCGTGTGCGCCTTGATTTCGTTCTTCTTGCTCTTCAGCCAGCCGCCGAAGCCCTTGTCCGGGTCTCTGCTCTCGCCCCGTGGTCGGCAGGCATGCCCGAGGGGCAGGGCGGTTCCATCTCCCTCCAACCTCTTCCAGACTCCAATATGTCCCCGTGCTCAAGTTCCTCCTCCTGATCATCGTCCTGCTGCTCCTTCTCCACCACCTCCTCCTCCTCCTCGCCACTCATACTCTCTCCTCCTCCTCCTCCTCCTCCTCCTCCTCCTCCTCCTCCTCATAACGCTTCCTGCTGACCTTTTCCTCCTCACTTCTTCGTCCTCGCCTGCTCTTCCTCAATCAGTCTCCTCCTGCTCCTGCTGCTTGTCATCCTCCTCCTGCTCCTGCTCCTGCTCCTGCTCCTCCTCCTCCTCCTCCTCCTCCTCCTCTCCTGGCGACGCGAAGGAGGCCGGACGTTCGAGGGTCTAGGATCCTGGATGTTTTGGGAAGTCCCTGGGCACTGGAGATCTCAGGAGGTCTGATCGCATCTCATCCTCATTCCTCCTCTTCTAGTTTCCACTCCTCCTCCCTCCCTCTCCGTCGACCCGCTCCATCTCTTCATCCACCTCCTCCTCCTCCTCTTCCTCCTCGACATCCTGTTCTCCACCCCTGGTCCTCCTCCTCCTCCTTCTCCTCCTCCTCCTCCTCCTCCTCCTTCTCTTCCTCCTTCGTTTTCACGCAAACGACCCCTTCAATTCTAACTCCACCTCCTCTCTCCTGTTCCTCCTCTTCGGCCCTTTTGCTCATCGTCCTCACCTTCTTCCGACTGGCTCCTCAGTCATCCTTTCCTTACATTTCCTCATCCTTTCCACTGGCGTCCTCGGGAGAGAGCAGGATGACGATGAGGAAGAGGAGGAGGAGGAGGAAGAGGAGGAGGAGGACATCTAGGAGGAGGAAGAGAAGGACTGCTAGTCTATCCCTGTGAGGTGGATCGGGTTCTGCGTTCCGATCCCGTTTGTTGTGTTCTCGGGCTGCCGCCATCTAGCCGCGACGGCTGCGGCCAGCCTGCGCTGGCCAAACCCGGAAAAAAGACAGGAGGGGAAGGAGGAGGAGGAGGAGGACGACGACGAGCAGGAGGAAGAGGAGGAGGAAGGGGAAGAGGCAGGGGAGGAGGAAGAGGAGGACGAGCAAGAGGAGGGGAGGAGGAAGGGGAGGAAGAGGAGGAGGAGGAGGAGGAAGAGGAGGAGGACGACGACGACAAGCAGGAAGGGAAGGATGGGGAAGAAGGAGACGCAGCAGCAGTCGAGGGCGGACAGATACCCTTGCAGCAAGCCGTTCTTCGCGAACGCTGCCAGGGGACCCCAGCAGGGTAGCTTATCAACGCCCCAAAACGGCCGAACGTATCCGGCGAGACGCACGTCGATTAGCGAAACTTGGCGGCGCGCACAAGGGGGAGGAGGGAGGAGGGAAGGCTTCCTTAGAAAGAGCCTGCTTCTTAGAGGGCGCCAGACTTACACAACATCATTGAGCGTCCCTAGGTGTTTGATGTATTTTGGCATTTGCTTCTTTTCGGCCTACCGCTGGCCCGAGACGGCCCAAGAGCCCCCACAGATCGCCCCAAGATCGCCCAAGAGGCTTCCAAGATGGCCTCAGAACGGACCAAGAGGCCCCTAAGACCACCCCAGGAGGGCGCCAAGACAGCCCAAGAGGCCTACAAGACGCCGAAGATGGCCCTGGAGCACCCCAAGCGGGCCCCAAGTCGGCCCAGAGAGGCCCCCAATGCGGCTTTCGACGGCGTCAGACGGGCCAGGAGCCCACCAAGACGGACAAAGAGGACCCCGAAATGCCTCCCAAGGCCCCCAATAGGCTCAAGGAGGCCCCCAATATGCCTTCAAGAGGCTCCCAGGAAGCGCCCAGGAGGCCCCAAGAGTGTCCCCAGAGGCTCCCAAGAAGCCCCCTCCTCCTCCTCCTCCTCCTCCTACTCCTCCTTCGCCTCCTCCTCCGCCTCCTGCTCCTCCTCAGGATCTTCCCCGCCATCCTCCCCCACGTGTTCCCGAAGAGTTTCCTCAACGCTTGGGGAACACATGGTCCGATGGCTTGGCAGAGCTCTTGCCGCAACGCTCGGCCACACGGGCGATTTTAGAAGGCAGAGGGCGGCGGTGATTCACCGTAGGCGTCTTCGATACTATTTTACAACATCGCTTCAACGGCTTACATCTACTCATGACGGTGTACAATCGTTATAACTATACTCATGACGGTGTACAGTCGATATCGCTAACTATTCTGCACGAGCTTGTTAAAATTATTATGTACTAAACTGTCTAGCGAACTACCCAAATAAGTTTAAATCCCTGTTCTGGATGGGCATTCTCTTCAGGCCCGAAGTAGGAGGGAGCAGGAGGGACAAGGAGCAGGAAGCAGAAATGCACCGACCCAGCCCCCCGACGTCAGGATTTTCTCATAGCGTGGACCCAGGAGGTCTCGACCTCAATGGGCCCTGGACACGGTACGGCCGTTTTTGTTACCGGTTCCGTTTTGCCGTTTTCTTGCCCGTTCCCGCGCCGTTCTTGTGCCCGGTTCCGGCTTCAGCTCCCATCCTGGAGCCGTTTCTGTTACCTTTTCTCCTTTTGTGCCTGGTTCCGGCTCCAACTCCCATCCAGGAGCCGTTTCCGTTGCCTTTTCTCCGGTCGCCGTTTCTTTGCCACTTCCGTTTTCAAGTGAGACCTCTTCGAAAACAATGAAAATACGGCCATGCCGTTTCCATTAGGAGCCCCCAAAATGGGTAGTGACCACACCGTGTGGTGAGTCGGTGGGGATTCGGGTCACCACATGGTTTTGGGACTCGGGTCGTTGTCCGAGGATGTCTCGGGCGACTGGGGCCTCCAAGACGCCAGGGCCCAGTGAGCCCCAGAGGTCTCTAGAAGAAGAGAAACCTCATAAACATGAACTTTTGGCGCTCCGCGCGGATCTCTCGGATTCGCGCTGGACACGCCTCCCTGGCGCGCGGAGCCCAGGGGCAGCACTGGAGGCGCCGGGGGGGGGGGCCCAGGCGCAGATCCAAGAACTCCGCGCGGAGCGCCACAAGTTTATGTTTGTGTAATGTTTTCTCCCTCGAGCCTCGACCCCCTCCGCGGGACCGGCGTGGGCCTGCACATGGCCGAGGCCGAGCGGTGCCTAACACACTGAGAGCTCGCCAGCCAGCGCGAGCCCCCCGCGCCGCAGCACGGCGAGGGCCGCCGGAGGCCGCCGGGGGGGCCCAGAGCCTGCCGGCGTGGCCCGGGGCCTCGGCGGGCCCCGGGGTCCCCTGGCCCCCTCGGGGAAGGGAAAAAAATCGCGGCGGGCCCTGCCGTCGCGGCCCTGGGCCTCGGCGGGCCCCGGGATCCCCAGGCCCCCATCGGGTAAGGGAACAAAAATCGCGGCGGGCGGTCTCTCCCTAATTTCGGCCTCGGGGGGCCCTGGCCGCTCGAGGCTTGGGGCCGTACGAGACTTTTTTGGTCTGCGGGGCGGGAGCGAACCTCTTCCGGTAAAAGCTGGGCGGGCTACGCGCAGCTCTCATTGGGGAGACAGGGCACAGGCGGGCGGGGCCTCAGGCGGGTAAAAAGACAGACTCGGGGTGAAAAGCTCGTCCAGGGGAGTGGTGGGTCGAGACCTCTGAAGGTCGACGCTGCGAAACAACTCGTGACATCGGGGGTCTGGGATATGGGGGTCCCAAAACCGTGTGGTGACAGAACCCGGCGGTGACCTCGAAATCCCCGCAGACCTCGCCGCAGGGTCCGTCACCAAACGGTTTTGGGACCCTGGAGGCCTCAGTCGCCCGAGACATCCTCGGACAACGACCCAATTCCCAAAACCGTGCGGTGACCCCCCCCGGCTCCCCACCGACTCACCACACGGTGTGGTCACCACCCCGTTTGGGGGCTCCCGATGGAAACGGCGGGGCCGTATTTCACTGTTTTCAAAAAGGTCTCACTTGAAAACGGAAGCGGCAAAAGAAGGCGACAAGAACGGCTCCTGGATGGGCGCTGGAGCCGGAACCGGGCACAAAAACGGCGACAGAACCGGGCACAAAAACGGCGCGCGAACGGGCAAGAGAACGGCAAAACGAAACCGGTAACAAAACGACACTGTCATATTCGAGGTGACCCCAAATGGGATCCAGCTGAAAGGGGTGGTGTAATAGATTTGGGGCAATTGTATTGCAAATGTACTGCGCCGGACAATTGTATTGCATTACGTTGCAAGTAATGCGTTGCACGCGAAAATGCAGCAATACACCTGCGCCCCGAAATGCATTGCACGCCCAAATGCATTGCAACCCCACAAATCTGCATGTATATATATATATATATACAGAGAGAGAGAGAGAGAGAAAGCCAAATCTATTGCCGCTGGTCCCACGTGTCCAGGGCCCACCGAGCCCTGGCGCTCCCCCCCCCCCCGAGGCGGCCCGCCCACCACGGCCCCTTGTCGTCGGGGACCCCGCCCTGCTCCGCCGCGGGCGGCGGCGGTGGCCGCTCCGGCGCCGGGCGCTCCACGCCGCGGCGCGCGGCGGCGCCCGCCGCCTCGGGCGGCGCCTCCGCGGGGGCGCTCATTCGGCCCCGCGTGGCCGCGCCCCCCGGCGCGAGTGGGGAGCGCCCGGCAGGTGCGGCGTCGCCGCCAGCCCCCTCCCTGCCATCGCTCGGACATCGCTCTTCTGCCTCCTCCTCCTCCTCATCCTCCTCCTCCTCCTCCTCCTCCTCCTCCTCCTCCTCCTCCTTCTCGGTGCCTCCACACTCCTCTCTCTGGTGTCGCTGTCCTCCAATTTTGCTCGCCTGCCTTCCCCTATCACACTCGCCTGCACTCCTTCCTGCACGCACCAACCTTCCTGCACTTCAGCAAGCCGGGATGCGGGCCTTGCCCATCCTGGCCAGCGCCTCCCCGTGCCTTGCTTGGTTTCGTGCGTGCTCTTTTCTCAGGGTGTCGGGAGAGAGGCACACGTCCGAACGATGCCAGGCCTCTGGCTCGAGCCCGTGCGCTCCTGAGGAGGAGAGGGGGGACGGTCCGAGAAGGGTGAGGATAAGCGCATCGGAGGCGGGTCCCTGCTGTGGGCCAGACGGGCAAGATAAGTTCGGGCCTCTGTGAAAGAGATATGCGGGCGGGCCCCTTGCACTTAGCAAGGGCATAGTGCCTGGGGCGTCCCCCAGGCCTGCTCGAACTGAGCCCGGGGAGGATCGTGGCCAGGGAGGGGCGAGCCAGCGCCAGCTCTCCCCCTCTGGCTCGAGACCGAGCGCTATTGGAGCGCCGCGTGGTGGCGGGGGCAGCTAAGAAGGTCTCTCAGGCCCAGACGTGCTCGCGTCCCACAATTAGCAGTAGGAGGCCACATGCAAACCCTACCCCCACCACCCCACGATGTCTAAAGAGGAGAGGTGGGGTTCACTTCGCTCGGGGCATCCTGAGCGAAGTAGACCCCACCGGACAGCCGAGGGGCAGCGACAAACGAGGATGTAAGGGAGGGTCGGAGAGGAAGGGGAGGCGGATCCGGGATCGGCGAGAAGGGTTGGGGGGAACCGGGATGACTGGGAGGATTGGGGAGGGGCGGGGAAGACGTGGGTGGATCGGGGACCAGGGAAGATTAGACTGGAGAGGGTCAGGAAGAAGAAGCGGGGAGAGCCGAGGAGCATCGTGGAGGATCGGTCGGGGAGGCTCGGGGAGGCATGGGGGAGGGCTGGGGGGGATCGTGGGTCGTCGCGCGACAGCTGGTGCCACGGGGCGCGGGGTCCTTGTCGTGCGGAGTGGTGGGCGCCCCGGGCGCTGGGGGGGTTCCGGACGGGGCCGCGCCTATACCAAGGGCCAGGGCCCAGACCCCCCCCCGAAAAAACATAGAGAAGAGAGAGAGTTAGAGAGAGTGCATCGAAGGGCACGAGGACGAGGAGGGGCACGAGTCTGACAGGTCCACAGTGCGGGCAAATGTTTACTCGAATCCCGTGCGTCTTGGACTTCCTTGTAGAAGGGCGCTGCAAGGCCGAGGGGCACTGGATGTGAATACAGCACCAGGCCTCTAAAGGCCAGATGTTTATCCACATCCGGTGCGCCGCGGGTTTCTGGGGAAGGGAGCCTGGAACTCACAGCTGCAGAGGACATGGGAACAAGTCCTGCCCGCATACAGGCCAACCTACCTCCTCCTCTCTCCCCATCCGATCGGTTCCCTCCCACCCCCTCTCGTAGGGGGCGCCCTTCCCACGCGTCACCTCCCATTGCGATGTTTTTCTCTCTATCCGCTGACGCGTGTGACAGCGGACGTGGAAGTCCGAAGAGGACCCAGTCTTGTCAAGTGCAAGGGGGGAAAAAGAGGGAGCTGCGTACATTGGACGAGGTGGCGGATGTGATGAGCAGGAGGATGGGCAGGAGGAAGACGGGGATGAGGAAAGAGGAGGACGAACAGCATGAGCAGGAGCTAGAGTAGAATGGGCGGGAGGGTGAGGATGACCATAGAAGAGCGGAGGGAAATGAGGGGGCAACGACGACGACAAAGGACTCGGATCCAGAACAGTGGCCCACGCCGGGGGCGAGAGCGCCATCTTGAACGACTGGAATAAGTGGCCGATCCAGACATGAGGCCCACGCTGCAGCGGAACACCATTCTTTGGGGCTTGACTGACTCCGCCCTCAGGTTGGATCGGGGTGTCCCTTTCGTCGCCGTCCGTTGCCTCTTGAGATCAAACTGGAGCCATCGCGGGTTCGCACTGGAATCGCGGGATCGCAAGATCAGTCCGCGGGCCCCTCTCGGTGTCGAAACGAACAAGTCTTCCGAGCTGCGTCCAGCCGTGGCGACGAGGAGGCCCCTCAAAGACCGACTACCGTTGTCTCAACATGCCCTTGTCCTACTCATCGCACCTCATTGTTTAAGATCGACGTGTGGCGTGGACTTGTCAACCCCGCAGCTTGCCTCTCGAAGCGCGGCCCAAAACTTGTTCCATGGAAATCCGCAGGGCTGAGGTTACCCAGTGACCTGGCATGCCTGTGGCGCGCGCAGCGAGGCAAAACAGGTCCGGGGGTGATGGGGAGGAGGGGGTGAAGCAGGAGGAGAGGTAGGATTAGGTCGGACATGTCCCCCTACAGGCGGATTGTGGAGGAAAAAAGATAGTCAAATAATATCCAACCATATTATTGAAAATGGCCCAAAAAAAGTCCCCTGACTATATGCTTGCTGTGTTTGAATATTCCTCCTGTAGAGGGACGTGCCCGACTTGCAGGTCGGAGGAGGGAGCGGGAGCGAGGCCACTTGGCCTTCGGGGGGTGGCCCTCCTCGTCGCCAGGGCGGGGCGCGGCTCCGCAACAAAGAGCTGCGCGCTTGGACCCTGGGCGGGTCCCTGTGGCCCACTTCGAGAGCGGAGTCCAGCCGATGGACCGGGCGTGCTGGCACAGGGCGCTGCCCCTCCGATTCCCCTGGTCGTCGTCCTCCTCCTCCTCCTCCTCCTCCTTCCCCTTGCTCCTCCTCCTCCTCCTCCTCCTCCTCCTCCTCCTCCTCCCTCCCTCCCTTCCAGCTCTGTGCCCTCTGCCCCCTCCCTGGCACGAGGGCTGCAGGCGCTGCGGCTTCCAGGCCGAACGACAGCGGCTGCCTGCAGAGACTCGCGCTACCTGGTCCTGCACCAGCCGGATGCGTGGTGCCCAGGCTTCGCCTGGTGCCCGGACGGTCGGTTGCTGCCCGTGGGCGCTCCGTGCATCTGGTGGGTGCGCCGAGGCTCCGGCGGGTGCCCGCCAGTGGGCGCCTCGCGCGCGGGGGTTGGGCGTGCCAAAGCTTCGCACCGTGGCCTGCCCGCCCTCGCCCGTGGACGGGCAGCTCGTGGGCGCCTCCTGCGCTGGGTCGATGCAGTCACAGCCTGGGCGGCCGATTGGCGGACGCCTGGTGGCGGCCGCATGATGGCAGCGCTCAGCGTGCACAGCAAAGTCTTCACCACACGGCTTGAGGAGAAAGGGCGCGACCACTGATCTCATCCACACGACTCGGCCGCCATAAATCTGAGTTGCGAACCAGCGTGGTGAGTGAACTACCCGTGGCAATTATTGCCCGGGCCAGCGTGCGGAAAACAGAACTCCGTCACGCACGCCAGTGTCGGCGCCACATGGCCTCAACTGAATGGGATGCACCGCATAGCTTGCGCCACGTATCCTTCGGACATCGTAACTTGCGACACATATGCTTCACAAAATAAATACAAGCACGTACCTAACACCACACAGCTTACACCACATAGCTTACATCACCTGTCACAGGTCTTACACCACACAAATACTGGGCGTGGCTAGGACCATAAGAAATCCGTTCAAGGATTTTCCGGACCGTTCTGAGGATGCCAGAATGCCCGAATGATTTTCAAGAGCCGCCAGATCTCATAGACTCTCGATGTATCATCCAAGCTTGTCAAGGTGCAGGCGTCGCCTTAAGATAGCACCCCGTAGCTGAACCTGTACATGTCAGACCACATTGATCGTACCGCGTACTTTGCAGCACGTAGCATTCACCCAGCAACAGGGAACGGGGACGACATCGGGAACCCAACAGAAGATCCCCTGACCTGTTCTTCCGACCAAGAAGAGGCACACATCAAACAAGCTAAACATCCATATCACGGCTCCACCAAAACTGGATCCTAGACACATGAGAACAATACCCGGAGGGAGAGGAACGAAGTACTCACAGCGAGCAAGTCTACAAATATAAATGGAGTTTGGAGAGGAGAGGGAGGACGAGGCGGTCTGGGAGAAGGGAGGTCCCGAAGGAGGAGCTCGAAGGTGAGCGAGCCGCACCGAGCTCACCTTCGGGAGGTCCAAGCAGATGTCTCGGATCGGCTCAGGTTGCCCCCGTCCAACTTAAGGACCACACCCCAGAAATAATTTCGAGCACCCGGAAAAGTGTCGAAAGAGTGTGGAAACAGTGTCGAAACAGTGTCGGACGAGCGCCTCCCAGGGCCCGACGCGTGAAAACCATCGAATTTGGGTACTTTTTTGGGCGCTCGAAATCCTTCCTGGTGGTCCAGGCTACAATAAGTTGGAAAACAATATCGAAACAGTGTCGGACGAGCGTCTCCCAAGGCCCGACGCGCGAAAACCCTCGACTTTGGGTACTTTTTTGGGCGCTCGAAATCCTTCCTGCTGGTCCAGGCTACTCCAGATTATACAGGGAGGGGGGTCTCATTTCGGGGGGGGGGGTCTCTTCCAGGCTATCTTGGAGGGCCTGGGGGGGTCTGGGGACGATGTTTTGGAGGGTTCTCCCACGGGGGGGGTCTAAAACTTCTCGTCTGGGAGGGTTGAGACCCCCTCCCTTTTATCACGAAATCTGGAGTAAAGTCGGTTGGGGCACCATAAGGATCGGCGCGGGACCCCCCCTCCACGGCTCGCGGAGCCGCGCCTCCAGGGCGGCGCCCTGGAGGCGCCGCCGGGGGGGGGCCCGCGCAGAGATCCCAGCAGCCCGCGCGGACCCCGGAGGAGTGTGGCTGCCCGTCTCGGCCAGTTTGGACACCCGACATGG